TCATAAATGTGTACAGGAAACACTTCAGGAAGAAATGGATGTGCAAACTGAGAGTGGAGATGGCTTCATGTTCACGCACTGGTCAGAGTTTTCCAAGCTGTACACTTTCCGCATACTGTCGGTCATGTCAGCTCGCTTCTTTCTATCCTCTGCACTTGTAAACAGGGTGAAAAATGGCTTTATAGTCAGACACTAGAATTTAGATGCTACCTCTGCTCCTATGATGCAACCTTACTTACAGTATTGTGTTTCAGATTCTATTTTTATGTTAATAACATTATGTGAGGATAAGAATGCATGTGTCCATGGCTGTGTTAAAGATAATGACATATGTTTTATCCCTAAGCCCACTCCTATTACCCTCTCTTAAGTGGAAACTCTTCTTGTATTTGACATATGACCTTGATATATATGCATTAATGTATATACTTTAAAGTAACAGAATGGCATCATTTTAGCTCATTTCTCCTTTATACTAAAATTTTGAGACCTCTTCTTATTATCCCTCCATCTCTTTATAGCGAGTTGCTTCTAACTGCTTTATTATTTCCTGTTATACATCCATCAAGCATAACTCATTAACTTCCCACGATGTAGAGTTCTTTGTCTAATTGTCTGTCTTAATATTTGTCTCCTGGAAGATCTCTGGTCCGTAAGTCCTAAAAGGAGATGGCTTGGCCATAGGAAAGCTGTGGGATTAATTTTACTCAGCAATTCCAAAAAGTTGAAATCTGCCAACACTGGTAATTAATGATGTCACTCACTTTTACCAATGCAATGGATGTAACGTTCTCTCCAATTTTTACTTCTCAGTTTTCTAGTCAATTTGAGCAATTCTTGTTCTTATTAGCTACCCAGGTTTTTCCTCCATAAACCACACCTGTATTAACATCTGCTCATTTAAAAATCTTTCTTGTTGATGGCTAGTTCCTTGAAATGTCTGTCATGAGCCTATGAGTATTGATGTGACATTTGCTGGGTAGAAATGTTTCAATTTAATATAGTCTCATCTGACATATCTTATCTTAGTCACTTAAAGTAATTGCCTGTGTCATGTGCAGAAATACAATCTGTAACTATGTGTTTTTCCCTTTGGGGTTCACGCTGTTACTTTGTTAGCCTCTAATGTACCTGGAGTCTGAGTTCTTATCTCAGATGGTGCTGCGTAGGTACACAGTCCTTCCTTTCCATGTGATGATCCTTTCCATGTGAACATCTGATGATGTTCCCAGACTCTCTGTTAAAGATTTCGACTGTCTCCGTTACACAAGCAATGCATCTTTATCATACACCACTTGAATATTTTTATAAAAAGATGACTCTAGAAGAGTAAAGACTCAGGGTAATAAAAAGTCAATAAGTATTTTTATCCAGCCTTCAGAACCACACATGAACAGGAAATAGTAAACACATCTGTGTCTGGGAATTAAGTATAGAGAAGGAATCTTTCTATGTCTACTATATATAACAGATTCTCATATAACAGATTCTTGCAATGTCTTCAATGCTTAATAGCAAAAAAATGTTTTCAGATAATATTACATAAATAAAATATTGTGTATGTCACATCAAAATTATACTTCTGTAACCATCATAAGATCATAGCATACCTGTTATATGCAACTTTTTCTCAATTTTCCCAAAGTTTCTTAAATTTCCAGGAATGATTCAGAATACTTAACAAGATACATTATTTAACTAGCAAGATTCTTTTGGAAGCAAGGAAAAAAAGTCTAAACAAAAATGGGTCTGATTTATGGCTCAATTCAGTATTCTGTACAGAGAAAGTTCTCGTGGACAAATGCCCTTGACTATCTGTGGAAGGTCCACACGTTCTCTAGGTTTAAATTTGCGTGTAGAGTACAATATTTCATGAAACCCATGCTGTGCCTTTGCCTTTCACCAGGAGTTAAAAACCAGCTACACTTTTGTCTACAGAGCCCTTCGTGCACTGTGGAAGGCGAACATTTCTTATTTCCCTTTGGATTTGCTGAGAAATCATTTTGGAACTTTATTGTTCTGTTCCATTGTTCAATGATGCTGAACACCAAACGGGAAACAAAAACAAGCAAACTAGTATTTCTCTGACAGCCTAGAAGCATGTGGTATCCTAAAACCCCTAACTGAAAGTCTACCTAGAACCGTACTCAGACTACCTATCTCCAGATGGACTGGAATTCAGAAGCAGAAAATCAGATTCAACCCTTCTAGCAGCAGTTGAGCAATGCTTGCCGCACAGAGAGTCTTTTTCAGTGTTATCAGTTTCGATGTGGTTAACCTGCAAGCCTATGAGGAGTTGATGGTCATTTTTGTGTTTGGAGCTTGGTGGAAGGGTGCGATGTTACCATCCACCATCAGGAAACAAAAATATCTGAGTTTTGTTTTATGATTTATGTAGGTGATATACTGAATTATCCCAATTCACATGCCAGGGTGTTTTAGAGTGATATTAGTCGTGTTGGTTTGGGAACAGAAAGACATTACCGGCAGAACATGGGGGACAAAGGGAAAGGCAGGCTGGCCTGGGTGGGAAGCATCCTGACGTAAACGAACCACCTAGGTGTGGACTCTTCTAGAGGGAGTTTGAGTAACAGCCAGTAGCTTCAAGTCATGGCAGAATCGCAAGTATAAACGAATCTGGGAAGGAGATCCAGAGGCGGGACGTGGTGGCGACCCCTGGGTGGCATAGGAAACATCTGATGCACAGTACATAAACCTGAGTTTGTATAAAAAGCACATCAGCACTGGGAACTGCAACTACCCGTCACAGACAGTTCTTTTTGTCCCATGGCAGTGATTTGCTGCAAGTGTCACACTACGATCAAAGCACCAAAAAAAAAAAAAAAAAAAAAAAAAACCAAAAATCAAAAAAAGCTCTGACTAAGCGACGTGAGTACAGCACTCGGAAGCCCAGGCTGCCTTCTCACTCCTGCCTATGTTAATCCAGGTAGAGTTGTGGTAAAATTTCAGACATGCTCAGGTTTGGCAGCACAAACATGAAACAAGAACTAAACCGATGATCTGTATACATGAAAAGGTCTGTGCTTTTCTATACAGAAATTTCAATTTTTTTTCTACTGATTTTTGGTTGAGACAGGGCTGCCATCATGATCACTAGCCTCACAGTATTTTGGAAATTTCTGAAATTCATGTTGTATGACACTGAAGAGGTTTGTTTGTTTTTTGATATTCTAGAGAAAAATCTCAGGAGTTAAAGCAGCATCTTACACGTCAAGCCACTAATAAGCTCAAAACATCCTGACCAGACATTTTTTTTTTTTCTAGAGCAACTTGAAACATCTCCACATTATCTATTTAATCATTTATGTCAGTATGGTTTACTCCCTTTTTTCATCAGTCATATTTTTTTCAGTCATATATTTTTAATGGCATCAAAAGACTGTTTTTATTTAGCACAAAATATTTTGAGAAACATTTTTATTAACTATAAAAATAATAGTTTTCTTATCTACTTTTAAAAACATTTCTTTTCTAGTAGCATGATTGAAACATGACCAATGTTGCTAGGAGATTATTTAAAGCTAATTAAATTCGTTAGCAGCAGCATAACAAGAGCCTCTATTCACTGGAAGAAGAAAGATAATAAATAGATTTGATTTTATGTAACAAAAAGCTTTTTACCCTTTGAAAAATACTTATATATGAACTTCTGATAAATTTCTAAAGCTAATAAATTTGATTTGCTATAAAAGAACAGAAAAGATGTAAACCTGAAATAACATCACAAATGTCAAATACACAATAACACTATATCAGAGTAAGATTTCACAGTGCACTGTTTCCTCAAAAAAGCATTTGATAAACAACAAGCTGGCTCAGGTAAGAATTAAAAAGTGAAAGGACCTCACCTGCTCTACTCCTATCTTAGATTTCTTGGGAACATCCATGAATGAGCAGGAATATATGCTCATAAATATTTATTAAGCCTAATAACTTAATAAATGTGCTAACATTAAGGGATATCACTGGAACATTAGTAAGGAGTATAAATGCTCATATGTAATATCTATTCAAATATTACTCAAAACTGATGCTTAACTTATGCGTATAATTTTTTATCAAAACATTCTTCTCTCCCTGAAGAGATTTGTAAGGTGTTTCTTTACTAAGTCTTCTTCTTTCAGGTCTAAATTACTCCCCCTTCACCAGTGTGGGCAAGAGCTGCTACCCCAGCATTGTTCCCTCTCCCAGTGTGTGGAGTTTTTATGGCAACCTTGCGTTCTGCCTTCTAGCATACTCATTTTGATAATCAGAATCAAGGGAACAGCATTCTCTTCCTGCTTTGTTCTCTTTACCTAGAATCCTCTTAATTTGCTAAGAATTGACTCATTTTCTAGTATTAATTCTAGAATCACTTTTTCTGTGAAACAGATACATTGAAGTCAATTCTAGTGGAATGGATTTAACTATTCCTGTCTATGACCCTTCTATTACAACGTTTGGAACTGTCATGGTGATGATTGCCATATCTTATCAATTAATGGTGCACTTGTTTTTCTGCCAGTATCTTCACACCCTCCCACAAGAGGCTGTTCCTAGAGTCTGATATCAAACAGCTGTTCAATATTTTAAAAATCAGATGAATAACTTCACGGACAAGATAACAGGTGAGAAGCAGTGGGTTTTGGAACTACTTTAGGTGATTGATTGGATCCTGTCACTGGGAGGGAGAAAAGCAGAACTTTGAAGCGGGAAGCTAGTACATAGTGATTAAAGTGATAAAGGTGAGAATGATGTAGACAAAAGAGGCAAAGAAATGCCCCAAATCCAACCAACAGCTCAATGCATCTAACGTCACCAGTGAACTGAATCAGAAGCAGGCACATTGCCATGCAAAAAAAGAATTTTTTCCTGAATAATCAAGGATATTTTGTTAAATGACTTCTTTTTGTATGCACTGTTGTAGGAGGGAGAGAATAATGCGAACGGTATTGTTAATAAAGGGAGCAAGAAATCGATGAATACTCATGATTCAGGTGTTCTCTTCAGAAAGTGTCTTTGGCACAGTTTCATTACCAACTCTGGTAAAGGTGGAAATGGCTATTACAAATAGGAGCAAGGAAACATTCAGCCAGCCCCTCAAATCAAATTCTAAGAGGCTTTTTAAAAAATCATTTTGTTTTACTTGTCAGAGTCTGATACCATGATCTCCATTTTCAGAGAAAGAAAGTTGAATGAGTGACTTGTGGAGGCTGCAAAGTTAATGGGGAGCTTTGGTCTAGCCACGTTGGGGAGCTCTTCTGTAACCCTCCTTTAGTGTTTGAAGAGACCACGACGCACCTATTACATCTACCGCAATTAATTATTCCTATTTTAAGAAACGTTAAGTCATTTCACATTTCCCGAATTGCAGTTTGAGGATGCCTTTCATGTGGAGCTGCAGCATCTGGCTGTACTCTTTGGGCATCTGGTGGAAGCCCTGTTTGGGTAACGTGTTGTCGTAGTAGTGGTGACTGAGTGGGGTTTCTTCCACAGTCTTAGAGAAAGGCCAGAAGCCATAGAGCTTCACGTTTTCACACAGCTCCACCGCGAGGCTTGCGATCATCAGGCCTGTGGACAAGCGGTAGGCGGTCACCCCCTTAGTTCTCCAGAAAACAGCGAGATTTTTCAGGTACCTGGGGTGGAAGAACAGAGCCTTTTGCCTCGCCTTAGACTCTTTAAGCGTTTGGTGGACTTTAAAAGACAGGCCAGTGTTCATCCTGAAGGAAAAGGCTGGCAGGAGAAGGAACGCGTCTCCATAGTTGGAAATATCCTTCAGAAACCTTTCTTTCTCCTTCAGATTCTTATATCTGCAAAATTAAAAAAAAAGGCAGTCATCATCATCATCATCATCATCAAAGCAATAATTTCTTGTATTATTCTGAATATACATGTGGTCAAAAAATGCAATTGTTTATATCCATTATATGAAAAAGCCGAAGCGCGGACTTAGAAACATCAATCAATTATCAAATAGATACCAAAGACCTGGCTTCATTCTTCTTTCTTGACCTACTGAGACTTATTACTAGACAGATATTTCTTCTATTATTTTATATTACAATCCAGCAAAGTTTATATTTACATACCCCTAACCAAATACCATAGCCTATATATATTTAAAAGTTATACTTTGTATAGCTACTATACATACTCAGTCACCAAAAAAGTTTTATTTAGAGAATCTGTGCCTGCCTGAAAATATATGTGTATGTATATAAAATGCACATATATGTATACATACATGTATACATACATATAAAATGTATATATGTGTATATGTATATATAAAATATATACACGTGTATGTATAAAGTATATATACATACACACATAAACTATGCATGTATCTACATAGACATACATTTTATATGCATAACTTTATATATATAGTTATAATATCCTTCCTGCTTTAGGCTATTACCCTCTTATGCAGCACATGACACCTTAGGAAGAACTCTTTCAAGTAAAATGTTTTCACAATTAGCTTTTGGACGGCAGTTAAACTGTTTTGTCTTCGCTCTGAGATTCCAGAACCGTTCAAGGAGTCTATTGTATCACTAATGATTAGCAGTCTCTTTTTCACAGAAGTTAAAAGAAAGCATATGAACGAATCAGCACTCTGTAACAGCTACAGTACAGAAGTGGGGCTTGAAAATCGCTCCGAGTAACAGACCGCTGAAAGTGAAAGCAGACAGCTCTTTGCCAGACTGTGCGAGGGGCTCTTCTGAAATGTCTAGACAAATAGTTTTGTCAAGAAAGCGCTAACTACCAAGGGGAAAGTGTCACTATCGTGAAGACTCTGGAAGAAAATGGAAGAAACCGACTTCTCTTCTTTCTAAGTTGAAGAGATAAACTCTCCTTTGATTAGACACATGTAGTTCGTGACACTAGAAGTACAACTGAGTCGTTCCTCTGTTGAGGCGCTGCCTGGATGATATGTCAAACTTTGCAGATGTATCCTTTTGTGTTTCCCCCAGAAGCTGTGCGGTGTGTCAGCCTCAGCAGCGGGAGAAGTGTCTGGAGTGATCAGGAAGTGTGCTGAGGAGCTAGTTATGCAACTTGAGGGCACTCACTTCAGTGTTATGATGCTGGGGTTCACAGTCACAAGATTCGTCTTGTTCCCGACATCTTTAGTAGCACCCCCTGTGACTGGGGGGAGGTTACACCTGGAATAAAGAAGGAAAAACATGTTCAAAATACAACTGGAAAAAAACGGTTGCACACACACATCTGAACTCATAATGGAGTGATCAGTACAGAGTTAAGGAAACTGAGGCACTGAAAATATGGTGATAAAGTCTTTCAGAAATAAGACCTACACACAGCACTAGTATCTCCTGATTTCCATCTGGATAACTTTGTCACCAAATGAGGTAATTCATCAAGGAAGCCCTAGTGTTTTTGTAGCAATTTTCATCCTGCTGTCCTAAACCTGGAGTACTAATTTTTCATTGGGAAATCGTGAAAGACACTAATTTTGAGTATATTCCAATCACAGAAAAATGAGAATATACTTTAAATTTCATGCAGAGCATCTTTTTGAAGAGGAGCATGGAAGGCAAACACTGAGTGCCCCCAGGAAAGCTGTGTACAGCCGACACCATCTGCAGTATGGATGGAACTGCAGGACTCTGCTCCATGCCCTATGAAACTCAGGAATAAAGGAAATACATGCTTCTCACTCTGATATAAAATATACATCAGAAATATGTATTTATTATAGATAGGAGGCCACAGAAAGGACCTCATCAGTGGCCTCCTGTAACAAATCACAGACACGTATTCTTTTGAAGAATCTGAGTGGTCCATTGTTTTTTGAGACAGAGTCTCTCTGAAGCCCAGGTTGGACTTACACTCTCAAAGATCCTTCTGCCTCAGTCTCCCAACTGAGCCATGAGCCACCATGCCAGGCTTAAAAGTAGTTTCTAATATAACTGGACACTTCATGGAAAACATCAGGGTGTGTGTGTGTGTGTGTATGTGTGTGTGTGTGTGTGTGTGTTTGTGTGTGTGCGTGCACATCCTCTTATATGCACATGTGTATTACATGTGTGAGATATTTATGTAAAATATTCACACAGATGAAACAGTATAGGTATAGCATACTATATAATGTAGTTATTGCCATACTTGTTCCTCATACACTTAATTTGTAGCTCCCAATGTTTGAAACGAAAACAAATGGGCAACTTGTGTGTGGGATGAGCAAACATAGGCAAAATAAGTGCAGGCTGAGAAACTAAATATATTTTAATGGGACCAACCATATGTAGCCTTAATTTTGCTTTCAGATTGAATGGCCAACTTCAGAAGAAAGAGCATGTTCAGAAAAATCCTGCCATCAGCTAAAGTGGAAGCTGGAAACCCAGACCTTGTCTTAAAGTTATAAATCAACTATCTGCTGAGACTTTTTCCTAGGCTTTAAGCCTAAACTGTTCTTTATATGTCTGCTATAAAGTAAAATTAATGCTTTTGTTTACTATTCACCACAGATGTTTTGGGAAATTCAGAGTCTTTAAAAAGCCTATCACACGAAGCATTATTTATCTTCATTGTGGCTCCCCCACCACACACAGACACTGAAGATTTGAACAACGGCTAACCCACTCCAATACTGATCTTGTTAGTGTGAAACATGACGAGTGTGAAAACTGTTCCATCAGGAATTCAGTGAGTGTTCAACAACTTCTGGACTCAGACTGATCCTTGTATAATTACCACCAATATAAGTTACAAACATGAGACGAAAGTGAGGGAGGAGCTATTTCTTGAATGTTGTTTTGTGATTGTTGTTGAAATGTAGAACAAGTAGCATTAAATCCACAGGGACCAAAGCGTCTTCATGTACAAAATCAAAATCAGTGTTCCCAGAACAAAAAGTAGACTTCTTCTGTTCCCTCTTTTAAGTCCCATTACAGCTGGGCGAGTCACTTCTCTCCTCTCCTAAAAAAGGACATTCTATACTGATTATTAGCATGGAGCCCACGCAAACCAATTTTGTGTCTATTTTCATAAACTACCTTGGATTCAATTGAGCAGGCAGGTGTATAATATATGTTAATTCTCGCACTGGGCAACAGTAGTGTGTATAGCTGTAAAATGTCAGGTCAACATCTTTCCTAAAGTTACTGAAGAGCAGCCCCACTTGCAATGGTCTGTGAGAACCAACATCTTCAACATTAGAGACATGTCCCTTCTGGGAGCCTTCCCAAGAAAACTACGGCACCCCTGTTCAGGCTAACAGCCCTGAGATGTCCCACAGTCACAAACCATTCACTGCAATTTGACCCAGTTTCTTCTTGGTTATTCTTATGGTCTTGATGTGAACATGACAAGGAACTCATGCGTCCCATGACCTCCAGGAAAACTTACCTGGACAACCTGTAGATGATAACAACTCAATCCCAATGACAAAGGCAAAATTGACACAGGGTGTGTTTGGGATACCCTTTGAAACAGTCAATAGCCAGTTGGTTCCCAAGAAACTATCTTGACAAGACTCACCTAAAGACAAAGTCAGCTTTATCGATTTCTGCTCCGCAGAGAGACTTGTTCAGAATTCCACCATTGCCAACCACTGCACACTGGTTATAGGGGTAGTCCACAAAAGGCTGGGTCTGCAGGAGAGAGCAGAAACCAATCATGATTCAGGATTGTTCGAGAACTAGAACAGAGGATACATTGTGGCTCAGGAGAAGAGATCCACTTTCTAAAACCCTCACAGAAAGGAAACCACAAATATCATCAGCTGGATTCCAGAAACTTGACTTTTTATATGTGCTTAGGAGATGAAAAAGGAGTAAGGAAAAAAAAAAAACAGAAGCAGATTTGGGGAGGATTTAAAAAAAAAGCATGATAGAGGCTAGAGAGAGATGACTGTTTGAGGAAGAGTACTGGCCATGAAAGCAAGAAGACCTGAGTCCAAATCCCCAGCTCCCATATAAAATCCACAGACATGCTGCGTTCTAGTACAGGGTAGAAGGAGGCAGGCACATCCTTGGAATTCCAGTTTGCTGGTCAGCCAATCTAACCTAAGCAGTAAGCTGTGGGTTCCATGAGAGAGCCTGTCTCAAAACTTAAGGTGGAAAGCTATGGAGAAGACATCCAGCATCTTTTACTGGCCTCTACACATGTGTGTGCCTTTGTATTCATGTGCATAAGAATGTGCACATGCCCCCTCACAAAATCTAACCGATTAAATGAATAAATGCATTCCACTATGATCACCATACTTTAAAAAATCAAGCAAGTTTGTTTCATTTCTCTTGGGAGGGATAAAGACAACATAAAATGTAAAACTTAAAAAGAATATCCTTGTATATAAACTGTAACATAATGTTTCTGTTGTAGCAATTACATTATGTAACCCAAACTGATTTCAATATCACTATGTGGCTGAGGATAGTCCAGAATGCCTGATCCTCCTGCCCTTACCTCCCATGAACATACTGTATGTCTTACTGCATAGAATAGTAGAAGAATGGAAAAAACATATTGTGTCTTCACAAGGAAGGACATTTAAGAATTAAAAAGAAAGAAAATAAAGAGGTTAGAAAACGGCATTAAGTCTTTTATTTTAATGTGTAGAATTAATGATAATTCATCAAAACTTTCTTTGCTTCACTAATCTTCAGACATGCAGGCTCAATGGGGTAATGGGATTTATGCCAGGCAACTCTACAAGTGGCCACTATGCAGTTTGGGGCCACCAACCAACTCTGGGCTGACGTATTTTGCATTCTCCCCCAAGACTCACTCGCTCTGCTTGCCCATTCCCTCCACAAACAACCTTAACATATAAAATAATTCTTTGCCATTCAGCATGTTTCCCTTGTTCTTCTATTTCCCCAGATAAAGTGTCCTAGCGCCTGGGACTCAAGCCCCACAGTGAGGTTCCCTTTGTCTCTTAGATGTTAGGATGCACGCCCTCATGAGCAGAAAATGTGTTTCTTCATTTTTCATTTCTCCTCGTCTCTCACCTCAAAGTTAGAATAACGCAGTGGTCAAAGCGAGTTTTTCACAAGCACTTGCTGGTCCAGTGCAACCCCAGCTGTGTGTTAGAGCTGGCTCATTTGACGTTGCAAGAGCCGACTGGGCAACACTCACCAATTCTGTGAGCTGGCGCTTAAATCACCGGGAACATGAAATTGGCCATGATGTTAGTACCTCAGCCACAGCGTGTGGGAGCGGATACGACACCAAGGCACCCCTCTTCCCAAAGCCAAGTCATTGGGTCCATTGGCAAGGCCCTAGGACTGCAGCGGCCCTGAGCTGCTCAGAGTGCTGACAGACCCCTGAGCCATGCTCACAGCCACCTGCTCCTGACACTGCATCAGGGAGCTGCCTAGCAAGCACACAGGGCTTTCTGTAGGCTTGCCTTTAAATTTCAATTGTCCCATCATGCTTGTTGTATGGGAAACACTGCTCTACCTACTAGTGGTTTACCTCACACAACCACTGTGTGAGCACTTTACAGATGGTAAAGTAGAGGGGCAAGCTGGAGCAACAGTTCTGGACAGGCAGGACTGGGCTATGACCCAGCCAGGCTGCTCCGAGCCACTTCCCAGCTCAGTTTTTTACTGGCCAGTGGATTAACATGTTCATGATGCAGTTCGTTCCTCTCTACCCAGAAGGCCCAGCACGGTTCCTGGCTTTCAAGATAGCAAAAGCTATTTCTCATCTCGGAAATCTAAGCTCAATATGGCTCCAGAGGTTTTACTAGATGGTATCTCAATAAATTCTGAATTTTATAGACTGGATGGGATGCAATAATGCAAATATGCTCTTTATGGTACAATACAAAAGATTACTAAGGGAAACACATCTCAATTAAGCCCTCAAAATAAGGACTGTTTCCTCTGGTTTCTTGGTCAATTGGGAAGAACCAGCCATATGTTTGGGGAGCCAGCATTCAGCAAGAGCTGAAATAAATTACAAACCTCAATCTCCCCTAAAATAAAGCAGGTTTTGGAGGCAGATACTTCACAGTTTTTAAGGAAAAGCTTTCATAGCAAGCTGCTCTGGTAGTCCTAGGGAGCTGTGGACACAGAGGAGCAGAGGAGACCATGTGGGCAGTAGGAAGAAGGGTAGGAAGGAGGTCAGCTCCATCCTGAATCCCAGCCATGGGAGTTAAGCGCGGGAGCAACACAAGGTAACATGGCTTCACCCAGGTCTCCAGCAGAATTTCTTGTTTGCTAACTAAAACCATAAAATTCCGGATAATGGGGAGCGCGTGCCTCTGTTAACATATGGAATTGCCAACTTCTGTCAGTTCTTTTCTAGGAGCTGCATGAAAGGCAGATACAGAGCAGTGTCTCCGAGACGAGAAGCAAAAAGCTCGGTAAACACCAACAAAATGTGACCGGATGAAGAGATGCTGCCTACCAGACTGTCCTAGGTCTCCCAAGAACGCAGAAATACTGGGTTATTAGTGTAATTTTACTTACTGGTGGTTTTAATGCATAACAGAACGTTTTAAGAGGGTCTTGTTTGGATGATTCTTGCATGTTTTTGTAGTTAGGGGATGGAATTCAGGACCTTATGCCTAAGAGGCAAGAGTTCTGTCTGCACTAAGCCACACACAGCTCCAGCTATTGGTATTTGGAGATAGGCTCCTTCCGCAGCCCCAGCCCGCATCAAGCCAGCATCAAGGGGAGTGTCGTGCCTCCGCCGCCCAAGTGCAGGGATTACACGCATGAACTAGCCAAGTTCACCTGAGATTTTTTTTCTTAAACTTTCTTGAGGTACAGTTATTCACAGTAAACTGCATTATTTTGTTAATCATTTAAAGATTCCAAATTTGTCTTTATTTAAAGAGATTTTGTCTGTTTTATGAGTACCCTTTCTTCTAGAAAATTTGCAGTAATTTTTTCTGTAATTTTCTAGTTATTTCTCATTTACTCTCAGAAAGTTATTATTTCTCTGAAATGTGATACAAAAATGTTGAAATACCTCACACAAGGCACAATAAATCAGTTTCACAAAGTCAAACAAGCAACAAAGAGGAGATTAATTATGAAACTCTATCTACAGATAGTCAGCTGCATAAACACGGTGATCTCATTCTGATCATATCGACTAGGCATAATTGCTTTTAGACATCATAAAAAGACACCTGTGGATGCATGATTACTAATAATGAGATGTTTTTCATGACAAAAATTTCCTCAATTTTGTACTTATATTGCATAAAATTTTTTTTCTAACTGTGCCAAACAGCAGAGTACATATAATTTACTCATGTTTATTTATAGACATGTATATTCACTGGGGAATGTGAAAACTGGAGCTTGGAACACAGCAGTGAACACGGTAGATGATAAACCCCGTCTTGTGGACACTGTATGGCTTGACTGTGAATTCTCACATAGTCACATAACAAAGATAAACCTCAGAAGCCTTTTGTACAAGGATGAGTTTAGTCATCCAAAAGAACAACTGGAAGACTCTGATCCTGGGCAAAACATGGTGGCTACCTCCTCAAGGCTCAGGTCTGATACCCCCAGTGTCTCAGCTCACTCACTGAAAAGTCAGGAGGAGTGGAGAGCTGAAAGAGTGTATCATTGGTGATACAAACCCTCTTCTTAGGGAGCCACACTGCGTTCAAAATTGCTTTTGTGAGGGACTGGGATGTATCTCAGTGGTAACATCCTTATCAATCATGGGCACGGTCCTGGGTTCAGCTTCCAGCAGGCGAAATATAAAATTAGAAGAACTGCCTTCTCTGACAGTTCCATCACCGTACATATTGCATATACCGTAACGTAACACACTAGCTTTAAAACTGTTCCTTCACCACTCCAGGTTATAAGGTCAAGCAATCCTTACTCACCACTGGGAACATGTGGAAAATGTTCTCTCGAATGAGGATTTGACTCTTGCTTTCCACCTCGTAGCTAATGTTAGTCCCCACTGGAGTGTTGTTCTGGGAAACCACGAAGTTTTGAACAGCATCACAACAGGAAGTCAGTTTTGCTCTACAATGGATGAGAATGAAAGTAAGCAGAGGAACACCATGAAGAAGGGGACAAGGACGTGGCAGTGGATGCAGCCAAAGGGCATCTGGGCTGTTGACTTTCAAAGGCAAGTCAGGCACCGACGTGACGGGCTTCCTCTGCAGCCTGGATGGGAGCATGGTCACAAAATGTGCACGCCTCAGGCTGTAGCCCATTTCACAGCAGGTAACAGTCAGCTACACAGCAGCTACAAAGATTAAAAACCTCCCTGCCATGAGACTACCACAACAAATAGAGAAATGAGAGAATCCATCGGAGGAGCCCCCTTAGCTGCCATGCTCTGTGAGGTTGCCATCACCCCAAGGCAATAACAAGGAAATAACAAGGGGAAGGAGCCACTTCACATATCTTTAGTGCAGCGCATTGTTATGATTGTATTTTTAATTATTTTATTTTTATACATGTGGGAGTTTTGTTTTATTTGCATGTATGCTTGGACACCACCTGTGTGCGGTCCTTGCAGAGGCCAGAGGAGGGTGTCAGATCCCCAGGAACTGAAGTTAGAGATGGTTGTGAGTCACTGCGTGGGGGCTGAGAATTAAACCTGCTAAAGTAGACAGTGCTTTTAAGCACAGGGTCATCTCTTTAACCCCAGTTTTAACTGCATTTTATCATGAGTTGCTATTATTAATCTCGTACTGTGTTGATCTTATAAACTAAACATATATGTGTACAATATTTCATATACACATACGTAATATACATAAACAATGTATCTATATACATATATATTCTATGTATCCTATGTATGCTTAATAAGTACTATGTATATATACCGTATGTTCCATTTATGGGTACAAATATAATATATATACTATACAATATATTACATATTATATATATATATAATACAAATACTATACATACACACATAACATACATACATATTAGTCACATATGTATATGATAATAGATGTAAGGCCCAGCACTATCTGGGATTTCAGAAAGCCATGGGTGGAGAGGGAGGTTCTGTAATGGATTTCTCAGAGATAATGGAGGAAAATAGTATACAATTTTATTGTAATAGACCTGCCTGAGCTCCTCCTCCAAACCCACCTCTATGCCCTTTAGACTTGGCCTTGTGCTGAGGACTCAGGGTTCTCTTAGTTCTTTTTCATGGACCTGTTCAGCCATTCTTCTAGCCCATCTCCATTCCTTTGTGACTCCCTGCCAACCTGAAGGTCTACAAAGGTCCCATGGCAGCCACCCTTAGCTACGACTGAGAACAAAACATCCATCAAGGTGAGACCAGATAGCTACATCAAGATATACCACAAGCACCACAATCCCACATGCCCAGAACCCAGGGCAAAAACACAAAAATGAACAGCCAAGACAGCATGCCAACCTCAGAAACATACTAGCTGAGTGTGATGGCTGTGGGTAGAGAGCACTCCTGCAGGTTGGTGGGGAGTCACAAAGGGATGGAGATGAATGGCTGAAAGAGGCTGCAGGAAGAAACAGGGGAACTAAGAGGCCTACTGTAACAGCCTAGAGAAAAGCAAGTCAGCTGAGGCACACACAAGCAGTTCAAAATCGCAATTATGAGTACATTCAAGGACTTTAAATAGGATATGATAAATGCATTAATGAAGTTCAAGAAAACACAGGTGAATGAGATAATAGAAACAATTCAAGACATGAAAGTATAATTTAACAATTGTTTTGAAATCATTATTAAAAACTGTTGAGTAGTATTACAATTGCCTAAGCAATAATGTATAACCATTTTTTAAAGAACAATCAATAAGTACAGTGATTTTTAAGGGGAACAAATTGAAGGTGGCCATTCCTAATAGAAATCTCAGAAAGATGTCAGTTACTATACAATGCATTTAGAAGTCCTGGTTATTAAAATACAGGCCAATGTAAAAAATAACTTATATTTTGTTTGTGTAATTCATCAGGGATGCAGATGCCAAAGCATCTCTAAATAATTAATCATTCTAGGGTTTAATCAACTTTAAAGTCAGGAGATGCTTCTATTGACACAACTAAGCTATCTCCTTGCTTAGGTCTGTTTTCTCTGTTCATTTTCTTAGAAACTCTTGAAATAGCTGAACACAGTAACCAGCCATCTGATTAACCTTTCAACCTTGTAAGAGTCTGCACAATTTCCCTTCCTTTTGTATTTTCTAAATATAACTCATTTTTCATTATTTTCATCATCTCATCACTCTTTAAGCTTGTCCATTTCTTATATTACTTATGAAATATGTATGCAGTTGGAACCCTGCAGTACAGAGAAGGCAGTGTCTGAGCAGCGGGAACTGGTTGTGGGGAGAGTCATTTCCAATCCCACAGTTTTATTCTAGGGTCTTGGTTCTGACGGGCACACTTTTCAGGCGCATTCCTACTGAATTTTGTGCTTTTGAAGTAACACAGTGCTCTAATTCTTTGTGCTCATTTAAAATTCCATCCTCCTGAATTCCAGCAGTTCTCAGGGTATGGGAAGTAAAGGTAATGCCATTTGTACCCAAGGTCAAGGCTTTCTACAGCACTCATCAGGCAGCTTGCTTCATAAAAACTTTGCTGTCTTCTTAGTCAGCACCTTTATTACTTTCCACCTTTCTGTCTCTTAGGATCTGCCATTTCTAAAAGGTAGTTCATAGAGATAAACAAACCAAAGAAAAAAATTCACAAACAAAATAATAAAAACAAAGGAAATAAAAATACAATACTAAGTAGTTTTTAATTACAAACTTAATTTGATAACAATTTCTTTGTCACTCTGCAAATTCAAAACTTCCTATGAGCTTATCACTTTAAATGTCTCTTTAATCCAGGATCCTAGGAAAGGGCAACATAATGAATTCTCATTTACTTGTTACAAATAATTTAAAAAAACATATTCAGTGCTTATAAGAACACTTACAAAACCAAAGACACTGGCCAGGTTTCCCCATTAGTGCTTTTTTATATTAATAGGTATTTCTGGAATTATACTATGTGTATTATAATAACATTTTAAACTTACAAGAAAGGTGAACAATGGACACTTGAGTAACCACCAACTATATTCTACAATTAACTCTTTATCTGAACTGCAGATCTCATTATGACTCCACTCTCAACACCTTCCATCCCCAGTGGCAAACCCTCCTGCTTTTGACTCTGGAATGCTGGGTTTACAGGCTTCATACACTGGTTTCGCTACTACAGGATTCAAGCTTTGTATATGCAAAGTATCCAGAAGTAACACAAAACTAAGCTGCTTGTAATCACCAAGGAATCCAGAGAACAAACAAGCAAAACAGAACAACTGTTATTCCATTCCAGTCCCTCTAAAATAAAAGCCAGTCCTGATCAGGGGTGACGAGGTCAACCATGCGCCACAATGATATAGGCTTGCTGATTCTTCCCTTCTTGTGGAAAGTGGGGACACATTAAGGAATGGAGAAGACTGCTGATGTTAATTAGAACACTTGCCATTTCGGGGCAGCTGACCATCTGCTGTGAGACGCTCCACAGTCTTCGACAGTAAATAACAAGGTTCATGAACTACACACCAGTGAATCCCTGTGCATTTTCAGACACACACTATCCTACTCAATTCCCACAACCGAGAGTGTGGTAGACAACTTCATGATGGCCGTTGGAGACGTAGAAAACTGGGGTTGAGATGTAAGTGTGCCACACACTCTGGCTTAGCCCTGCAATTCCAGCACTACGTCACAGCAGGAGGTCAAACAGTTTAAGCCTGTGCTATGTGGCTGGTCTGAGGCCAGCAAGGGGCTACACATTAAAAGCTTAGAGTGGAAAAGGGAAGAAAGGAGGGAGAGAAGAAGGGAATGCCAAGAAATGCGGATTGCAAACAACTGATGCATTTCATGATAGTCTCTCCAGTCTGTCAGTATACTTTAAAGGGAAATGCTGCCTCTGTAAGCCTCCTTGGTTAAGCCTCTTCTTTGGGGACATGTTTCAAAATGTTACCATGCTAAAACAGGTACTCAAAATCATGCTGCAAGCAACACACCTTATTGCCTCCCTATCCTCAGACTTTCTGTATATAAATTGTAGGAAACCAGCATTGTCAGGTGACACTGTCACTGTGCCCTAACTTCATGCTGGGTCTCACCGACAGCCACTTCCTCCACACAAAATTAAAAGAAAAGAGAGCATGCTGCAGCAGCCCTGGAGTACATGAGCTTCCAGACCTTAGGAGAGGTGATGTGTGTCTCAGCAGAGCTTAGCTTCTAAGGGGTAGGATGTCCCGGCAGAACCCAAACTAGCATGTTTAGTCTGGATCCTTAAAGGTTAATCTGAAAATGTGCAAACTTATCTTTGCTTTCCAGTAGGCCTCATAAATAGACTTTTGAGAAAAGAATGTGTGTCTTCAAGGTGGTTGAAATGTCTTTTCCACCCTATTTCCTTCCCTTTTATTTCATTTTATTAAGTTATTTCTTTCTTTCTTTTCTTTTTTCTTTTTGATTTATTTTATTGGTATGGAGCTTCAAGGAAAATTCTTCAGTTCTACGAGAAAAATGCTTCTTGGGTTTTCCATGAAATGCTAATCACTCCTTAAGGCTGACAGTGGGCAGGACACCGCTGGACAGCCTGCATACTAATGACCTTCCAGCCTGGGCCCAGGGCTCCCAGGCACCCCTTCTGTTTATTTCTCAGTGAGATTCCCTAATGAGATGTGGGCCACTTAGGACCAGAGAAAGGCTGCAGGCTCCTTCTAGGTCTCAAAAGAGCCACATTTCCAGGATTCATTTCTTCTCTATAATTGTAGGAGTCTTAAAGCATAAGGATCCACACGAATGCAGAAGACTTTCAATTTACCTTTCTAACCTTCGCTAACTAACAATCCAATTCCATTTTGCTCCCACCGAGGGCAAGCGATCCTCCACTTGCTTCTCTTCCTGTTTATTCTCGTTACTATTTCATTTCAAAAAAAAGATTTATTTTTTAATCTATGATCTGTGTGCGTGAGTGTGTGTGTGTGTGTGTGTGTGTGT